AGCTTTATTTATAGTCTAGACTAGTGTTTCTCAAACTTGGCTGTGCAATGAAATCACTAAGGAAGCATTAAAAAAAAAAAAAGCAAAACAAAAAAAACTGATGCCTGGGACTTTCACTCAGTGACTTCAATTTAATAGGTCTAGCCTAGGGCCTGGACTCCCCAGGTGATGTGGACGCAAAGCCAAGGTTACAGTCTCTTTCATCTCTCTGAGTAGAAGTTAAATTCCTTATCAATAGAAATAGCTTCATATATATGTATGGGATGCACTGGGCACAAAAATAGGCACTCAACACATAACTGCTGATTGATGTCACAGAAACCTTTCTGGGAGATGCAGGGCATGTCCTCATGATTAGGGATTTCTTCTCCCCAGCTTGGATAGTGGTACAGGTTCAGAAAGGACCATCCAGGAATGAGGGGGCACCTTGCTCCATGGTTCCAGTGGGGCACTGGGTGGCTTATATCACCCTTTCAAAGTTGAAGTCACATATTGGTGAGCCTATGATTTATCTTTCTTGGGGATGGAAAATAGCTAAGGTGAAACTCACTGCAATCAATAGCATAACTAAAAATCCAAAGGGATGAAAACTCAGTAATACTATTGGAATGTCAGTTTTTATTACTGAAATTCCTCCAGTGATGACATTTGGGGTTGGCTGGTGACAGAAGTCATCTAATTTGAAGCAGGAAGAGAAAGTAATCAATGTTTTATGCTTACAAATGCTTACAAAATATTGGGTGTTGTACTTACTCTCAGGCCTTACCAAAAATCACGCCAATTGGGTATCAGCATCCTGACTTGCTACAAGTTAGAAACTGAGGCTCAGAGAGGTTAGGCAACTTATCCATGGTCGCAAAGGTGGCAATTAATGAGAAGAGTTTGAATTCTTGTCTATTTGACTTCAAAACCTATAGTCCCTTCATAGCATCAAAATGTGACCTTGGGTCACATGAGTGATGGCAAAGGGCATCCCTACTAAATCTTCATATTACAAGCTAGTAAGATTTCTATGTTCTCAATAAGTCAGTAGGAGAAAAGACATTCATTGAATTAAGGGATGCCGAAATGTGATTTTTTTCTTTGTATTCAGCGGTCTCTGTCAAGCACTTAGAAAATAACTTAGGTTGAGGTCTTTCTGGAATAGTTAGTGGAAAGATACAGGGGTGAGGTTCATCAGTGGCTTTCAAGCCCTTTCAACTCAACTGATTTTATGAAAAAGAAAACCATAATGTGGTGGTAGACTACGTGACCACTTGGGCTCATAGGAATTTGCTCTGAGGAATTGTACTGGAGCATACCAAGTTCAAGACAGGGTTTTCAGACAGGGGTGTTGCCAGTTACTATCTGTGTGATCTTAGGCAAGTCATTGCCTCTCTCTGAGCCAGCGTTTACTCCTGAGAGAGAAAAAAATGGTGGCTATTTAAATAAACTTTAAAGGCTATAGAGACTTTATTGATCTGATATAAGCTAACAACCCTTTCCCCAGACGATGCACGATTCTGAATGTTCTGGTTGTTTATAGATCTTCCAAAGACCACTCATGGACTTCCAAGAATATACAGACCCTTGATTTAAACAACCTGAATATGTGATAATGGGTGGTAGTCATGGTTACAAAAAGAGCTCTTATCTTTTAGAGATACAACCTGAAATGGATATGGATGAAAGAATTTGATGTCTGGGATTTGCTTTAAAATGATCCTGTGTGTAGGGAGAGGGGTGGGGGATGGTGGTGGTGGGTAACAGGTAAACAAGACAGTCCATGAATTGATGGCTGGTGAAGCCAGGTGATGAGGTACATGATGGCTCTTCTAGGTTTCCTCTACTTTTGGGTATGTTGAAATTTTCCATCATTAAATAAACTCCCACAATAACAATGATCCATACTTTAAGAAAATACTTGGATTAGATGAGCTCTAGTGTTCCCAATTCTAATACTCGATGATTTGGCATTTCACAGAATCTGCAGAGAAAATGGACTTCAGGAAACACTTTATGTGCCTAGGACACTGAATCATTATCATTCCTCTTCTAATGGGCCCTCTGGACTAAAGAGTTTGTTGTGGCCTTATTTTCCAGATGATTCTGTGATAGTCCATTGAATTACTTCTATAAGTATACTTTTGGGGAAAGGACAGCAAAACCAAGTGCAAAGACCCTGGACAAGAATTTTTTTTTTTTAATCATTTCACATGACAATGCGGCTCACGTTTTCAAATATTTCTTAAGATGAGAAGACCAAAATAATGTTGCAAATGACTTTTGGTGGCATGAACAATACTCGGTTAGGAAGTCAGGTGACACAAGAGATATAAAACAGTATGCAAGCAGGAGAGACAGGTGCGTGGTAGCTGAGAACTGGTGTTCCACAGCCATGCTGCCTGGGTCCCTGCCATGCAACTAACTGTGTGCCCCTGGGTAAGTCACCTAACTTTTCTGAGCTTCTGTTTCCTTATCTATAAAATGGAAATGATAGTGCAATCTCCCTCAGAGGGTTGTCGAGATGAGTCAAGTCATGCCTGACATATAGCAAGCATTCCATAGACGCTCACCGTTGTGCTCTCCACTGTGTAAATATAAAAACAGATGAAAAGAGACATAAGATGTAGGTCAAAATATTATCAGTAGTTGCCTCTGGATTGTGACCAATGGGTGATGTTTTTCTTTATTTTTGTATGAACTTTTCACATTTCTACAAAGAGGGTTTGTTACTCTCACAATCAGGGAAAACAAAAGTTTTTCTAGAAAATGCTTTTAAAAGTTGTTCTGGAAATTTAATGCTCAGAGCGGCCTCAACCACGCTTGTCCCATGCGGTATTCTGACAAACAGACCCCTTCAGAGGAGAGTAAGATGGAACAATTACTAATGTCTTGCTCACATTTTCCTCACCAGGCTCTCATCTGCAGGAAGGCTCTTGTAAATGCCAAAGAGCCTTCAAACGTGGCGTTCCTGGTGTGGAATGAATACAGCCTTCCTCTGTTACTTTTTCATGCCATCCTGCCTCCTTACCATGCATTCCTCCACATCAGCGGGTTAGCGTTTTGGTGGGGCACGGACCCCTTAGAGGATATCACAAATGCTATGCCAGGAAAAATTCATTCAGGCACACTATTTTGTATTCAGCGTCCTGGGGTTCATGCCTCTCACCTACTTCTCCACTGATTTAGAACACCTAAGCCATGACAGCAAATTTAGGAATGTATAAACACATGTAGACCACTCTGAGAGCCGTGGACGTGTACAAATCTGAAACTAACTATAAGCCAGATAAATTGGTGGAGAATTATGGATAGTACATGCATCATTCTGGCTTTGCCAAAGAATGTACATTAGGATATCTATAAACAGCAAGCCCACATAGTGTGCTTGAACCCCGCCGCTGTATACCCAAATGCTAAGTCCTTTCCAGAACCCACCTACTGCAGAGCAACAGGCCCAATTCAAAAAGTTTAATACCAGCTTCACTCCTGAGTTAAGCTACGTTCATTTATGGTATTCTAGATCACCTTTGAAACAGCCACTAACCATATCACTTAAGTGACTGCCAGTCAAGGATGGACAAAGATGAGACAACCAAAAGCTTCTGGCCAGGGGAGAAGTGGTACACGCGTGTGGGCTGCGACGCTGCTTTGGAGTGGATCATTTGTGGTGAGATGGATCCCATCTCCTTTTCTCAGGCACGAAAACGATACACATTGATTGATTCCTTACACTATTCTGGCTGGACTTGTAGGTCACCTCACGTGTTCCTCAAAATGACTAGGGAGAGTCAGGCTTTTGCCCCCATTTCCAACCGAGTTTTAGAAAAGTTGACACACACGCCCCAGGTCAGACATTTATCAGAAAAGTATTAAAATAAAATAGACTTCATGCAAAGCTCTCTGTCTTGGGTTGCCAGCTGCGATGGTTAACTTCCGGAGACTGGAATATGTATGTACAGCACCGAGCATCACTTAAACTGAGAGACGCTTAGCTATGATTTTGATCCTGCTGTCGTGTCAGTGGCTTCTGTGGGTGTGTGGGAACCGAGACAGGGAAGGGACTTTTCTTTGCCCCATCTGACTTGCCCTCCAAACCACTTTCCTTCTCTCTTACACAGGGGCTGCGCCCTCCCCCCATTCCAAAGATGCTTGAGGAACTCACAAGGAGATCAGTATAAAGAGCCAGGAATCTTGCACTTAAAAAGAAAATCCATATAACTACAAACTCCATGTTTCGATGTTCACTCTGGGCTGTGATGCCATTTGGCATCTCACTGCTGACAGCGGCATTTTACTTGATCCTCTTCCAAAGTTCCAAACATGTGCCTGGCACCCACCAGAGTTTCAGAGGAAGCATAACAGTGACAAGAGAAATGCTGCGGGGTGGGTTTTGTGTATGTGAGTTTGTGCAACTCCCATAAAAGCAAATGAAAGTCGTTGAGTATGAACTTCCATCAACTTTCCCGCGGCACGTACGTCCCTTTGTCTAGTTTTTCTGAAACGAGCAGTATCTGAAGTTCAGGATGCACCCTGTCAAACAGAGGGTCTGAGGCCCTTGGGATACAGACAACCCTTTGCTGGCCTGCAAACGCCCTAGCTTTTCTGGAGTATCTCTGGGCTGTCTGTCCCTCACCGTTCAGAAGCCGCCTCATACCTATACGCGTTTTGGGCACACACAGGCACAGAGCAACCAAGCCACCGCCACCCAAGAAAGCGCTCTCTGAACCCGGAGTGCATGTGAATTGCGTGTGCTCGCGGGGGAGAAGCCCAGCGAAGCCTCGGGTCTGTGTGGGCGAGGAGGCTGGGTCCACCTGAGCGTGGGTGGTCCAGCATCTTTAGCAGGGAGTCCTGCCGGACATTCAAGTCTCAAGGGAGGTACAGTCCTTGAACCCTGGTCGAGCTAGGGACACATCTCAGCCCCCTGCGCCAGCGCCAGTTCGGAGGGAACAAAGGCGGACAGGGAGAGGGAGACAAGGAGAGAGTTTGTGGTCTCTTGGGGCAAGTGCGCGCGGTACCTTGGATTCCTGGCTGCTGGTGGATGCAGGAGACGGTGGCTGATCGGCGCTCGCTGCCTCTTTGGGTAGCCCATCCACGCCGTCCTCGCGGGCGCCGCTCGGAGGGATCATTGTGGCGACGCGGGAACGGTGTTGGGCTCCGGGAGGAACAGAGAGGCTCGCCCTCCTCCGGCGCGCCCTCTCCGCCGCGCGCTGGGTGGCTCAGCTCAGAGTCCCGGGGACTCCCATCCTCGCTCAGGCGCGGACGCGCCCTCCGCCGGCCTTGCCTCTGCTCCGGCCCTGCCCACCTCCCCCGCACGCCCTCGGGCAGGGGGGGAGCGCGCCCCGCCCCGCCGCGCCCGCTGCCACCTCGCCGGCTACCGCACAGTCGTGACTGCCACCGGCAGCGGGCTAGCGGTCTCGGGCTGGGGCTCACTCGCCCAGGAGACGCAGGAGGAGGGAGGTGGCTCCGGGGCGGGGCTGCGCGGCCTATGCCGAGGTAGCGAGGGCAGGCCAGGGACGCGCCGGTGAGAGCTCAGAGAGCGCACAGCACCGGGTCCGGCCAGGGTGGTTCCTTAGCAGGGATAGTGAAAATTCAGACCAAACCTCGAATGGATAGACACCCTGTGAATGATTCAGCCAAGGGGGGCCACCTGCCACAACTCCCTTATTCCTCACCCTAAGAAACCGCGACTCTAAGGAGGATGGTGACTTCGCTAAGTTATTTATAGTGTTCAGTGACGGAGATCAGGCACCACAGCTGGGGTTCCCTAGCTGGAGAGGACTCTGCTTTCCCCCATTCAGCTTTAAAGCAGAGGGAGAATGCAATGTGTCTGTGTCCTCATTTTGTTGTGCATTTATGTGCCAAGCCCTTTACGCATTTCATCTTATTTAATCGCCAGTCATACTACCATCACTTAAGTTTTATAAATGAGAAAACTGAGGTGTCAGGGAGGCTAAGTCATTTGCTTTAAGTCACCGAGTTATAAACGGTAGAGCTGGTATTGGAACGCATTTTTGTCTTCCAAATCCATGCTGTTTGGATGGTGGAGCCTCGCATCTAGGCCAGATCCTCATAGCTGTAGAGCAACTGGGTGTTGCGGGATGACATGGAATTCAGGGCTGGTCAGAGGGGCCAACCATTCTGCCTTACTAGATCTTTTGGAAACATAGAGATGGGCCCATTGGATAAAGAGGCAGAAGGGTACAGTATTTTTTGAAGAAGCAACCTCAGTATGTAGAGAAAGGAAAGACATCTGGATATTTAAAAGACTTTTTTTTTTCATGAAGAGAAAACTACCTCCTTAATTTTCTGGCAGAAAATTGTAAACTTAAGTTCAGATTTTCTTTATTAACTGTAAATGTTTGCAGATTCATGGGTAGGAAGCCTGTACAAATCACACAGAGTCCTGCTCTTGGTTTAATGCAATTCCGTTGCTGTCTTGAAATTCTTAACACTGAATTATTAAGGGGCCCTGCGTTTTCATTTTGCACTGGACCCTGTGAATTATGTATCTGCATATTTGCCTTAGCATGCGTCCTTCGGAAAGAACCTATTACTCTTTCCATCCTGGACATCAATTGAAAGCTCTGATCTGAGTGACAGTCTCTTACTCAGCATTTGGCTCTCAGAGTGTTCTGCCATAGCGACACGGGCCTCTCATTTGACCAGGCCAGAAGGGCTAACCCAAACAGCCACAGCCTTTCCTCTTCAAAATACAATTCCTGGTTGTTCGATAGAGACAAAATTTGAACAGCCAAAGCCAGAACAGTAACAAACAGAACACACAATGACAGGAGCAACAATACCAATACATCTTGATCAAGCATCTCTTCTGTACCAGAGTATGTGCTAGAAACTGATGATACAACAGAGAAAAAACATAGATTAAGTCTGTTTTCCTGGAAGTTAGAGTCTGGTGAGAGAGATAGACATTAAGTAAGTCACACATGCATTTGCGCGCGCGCGCGCGCGCACACACACACACACACACACACACACACACACACACACACACACTCGTTTTTCATGAATGGTGATAAGGAAAAGTATAGGACTCTAATGAATATGTACAGATGTGAGGCCCGAACTAGTGTGAGGACAGAGAGGGGTTTTCTGAGGAAGTGAAGCCCCCAGGGCTTATGGGCAATTCCAGTCTTGGTGGGCAAGCTCATTGTGGCTTACAAGGATGCTTTCATTTTGGATTTTATTTATTTATTTATTTTAAGAATTAAAGAGCAGCTATAGTATGTCATCCTTCATTTTACTAAAGGCTTAGCTCTGATTAGCAATAGTCATTAGCCAATGACATAAATTTAATGCTATTTAAATTTAAAAAAGAAATGTTGTTTAAATTTTAAAGAAGTTAGCGCCTCCTTCCTCCTCACCCCACCCCTGTCCTAATAACAGAAATCCTTGGTCTCCTAAATAATAGCTACCTTTCCTAGGAAACTGTGGAATTACCTGGAGTTTCCAAAACTCATCAAGACCTTGTTCATGTGTTTCTTTCACATAAATCCTTTTCCATTCCATTTTGTTGTTAGCTAGCTAATGTTTCTTATTGTTCAAAACGCATCTCCAAACGTTTGTTCTTGTTGGAATCTCCTTTCCTGATCTCTTTAGTCTGATTTAGATTCTGAAACCAATTCCATGCCTCATGGCATTCCCCCACAAATAATCAATGATGAAGTTGCCTGTCCTCGCACTGGGCTATGAGCTCCACTAGGGCAAGAACTATGTCATGTTCATTTTGTTTCCTGAGCCCCTGGCACACAGATTGTTAACAAGACGGTGAAGGGAGACTGCCCTTGTCACCCCCTGAGCCTTAAGGTGGCCTCGGCATTAGCTACTCCAAGTTCCTTCCATATACTGAATGGAGAGAGACCCTGGATGTGTTCTAGAAAACAGTGGGATTTAAAATTACACAAGCTCCTTGATATTAAGAATTTTAACTTTATTGACTTACGAGAGGATCTTAAACTGAGAGTCATGGCTGTCTGTGAATGTGGGGTTCGCTGGTTTGCATGGAGGTAAGGGGTCTGCAGTAAGGACACGAGGTTCACAGCCCATTCCTAGGAATAGCAAGTGGAGATGGACAGGGTGCTGCTTTGTCTGAGTCTGTGGGGAGAGGGCTGCTGGCAGAAATGGATGGCACTGTGTTTGTGTAGGATGCCTTGATGCTTGGGTCACATGCACTGCTGCTTTGGGTCTAGATGACCGTCATGATTCCAAGTCCTGGAGGGATGTGAGTCCTGGAGGGATGCGAGTCCTCATGAAAGTCAGCTCTGACCTGGTACTGAGGGGACAGTGGTGTATTGATAGAGATGCCCAGAGGACAGTGGAGAGGATGGATGGTCTCCATGTACTGGAGGGCAGTGGATGGTACACCAGCAAAGTGATTCCCAGAGGACACCCGATAAAGCACTGACACCCCTGAGCCGAAGTGTACTTTTTCATGGCCCCGTGTGAGAAAGCCCCTCAGGACTCCCAGTTGTACTGGGGTGAGATCTCATGGACGACTGGCGGTCCTGCCTTAGCGGCTGCAACGACATTGTAGCTATGACTGTCAAGATGACCTCATTTCTCCTGTCGGCTGGTGAAGCTTGGGAAAATTCACATTGTAAATAATTATCCTAAGCCTCAAATCTGTTTCAGGACCTTGTGATTTTTGTAGCTTCCTTTCATGGTCCATTTCCCTCTGATTTCTGGCTAAATATCAGGCCAGCAGAAGTGTGAGGTGTGCAGGAATTTATCTTCATGCAGTTGAACTGAAAACTCCCACTATTGGTTCACTTACTTATTCATTAAGGTGTAAGGGGGACAAAACCTTCCCTCTGATCACATGCAGCTGCCTTTCATGAGAGCGCTGCTGAGCAGAGGCGTATATAACGTGTTCAACTTTCTCTCATTGCTCTGCTTCAAATGTGGATAAAAAGACCGGGCTTCATTCTGGGGACTTTGGCTTCTTCTAGAGCCATTTGGTAAAGAGACACTATGAAGATTGCTTAAATAAGTCATATATGGGGGGTACCGAAAGAACAGCAAGGAAAGGGAAGATGTGAGATAATCAGAATGTCCAGGGCATGGAGAGCTGACGAGGATAAAGGAGAGAGGGTCTCAGGGAAGGAATGGTTCTCAGTGTCTGATGCATCAGTTATCATGGTGAAGAGATATAAGAGAAAGACACAGGGCTTGGCAATTGGGTTGTTGATAATCAGGGGTGCTTACATGCATTGGGATGCTACAATGTTATACATATTTTCTATACATTATTTCGTTTAATCATTACAAAACCTTAACGAGATACAGAAAATTATGCTAAATTCCACAGTGAGTGTGGAAACAAGGATCTGAGCTGATATAGCCTGCTTCTGGGCCGAGTTTTGGCCACTCGACTCTACTGCCCTCCAGACAATGGCAGAACCCAGATCTGGTAAAGAGGCAGCAGGCTTTAAAGGGAAGGAGTGATAGAAACTGAGAGCCAGAGGCATCATAGGAGACACAGGGAAAGTCCTCAAAGAACAAAGAGGTGCCAACAACATTTTTTTATCTTAAAAGTTACTAATAACCAGATCTACGCTTTGAAGGCGATAGCCAAGAAGTTGAAGCAAGCCTGCAGGAGGCCCCAGCCGTGCCATCCAGCTGGTAAAGACGTGCCAGGAATCCTGCATTCGTTGTCAGCCTCTGGCTACCTTGCCCGATGCACCTGCCTGTAAGCCCTGAGGAACCAAACGCTTTACGCAGTCTTACCACCACCACAACAGTCTACTTGGAGCAGCTGTTAATGCCAGACTGCAGGCCTTGCAAGCAACTCATGATTGATCTCTCCTCAGCACCAATGGTAATGCCTTAATTTGGAGACTCATATCATCAGGGTGAATGAGATCCAGCTGAAGCATCCTTCACTTGGTTTTCTAAGTTCCAATCATCATAATAATAGCAATAATAAAAGAGAGTCATATTTGAATAGCACTGTTTGCATGGAATTATCTCCCACCGGAAATTCCCAGAAAAAAGCAGCAAGGTCCAAGCCTCATACAGCTAGCTGCTTCCTGGTTAAGATCTGGCTCTCTCCTCTAAAGAGGGAACACCTGGGCTGCTGCTAGTTGGCTATAACCTCTGTGAAACAGGGGAGCTTGAATCTTTATTCTATACTTAGTGGAAAAGCCATGAGCCTGAAATCCAAACATCCCAGCTCTTCCATGTAAAAGTAGGGAGATTTTAAGCGATTGATTTGATCTTTCAGCCTTGGTTTCATCAAGCCCCAAATGGGATAATAATCCCTACTTCATAG